TTAACGGTAGCCTTTAGTTTTTCAACCAGCTCAACCAGTTTATGTACATAATAAACAATTCAATTTGTAACCCATTATATATGTTTACAGGGACTAAAAAACAACGAAGGGTCGTCAAGAATAAACGTAATGAAATTAATGGTTTAGGGCATATTGTCGTACATCAATTGTTGAATCTTTTGCAAATGTACTTGAATATAGAGCCCTTTATATCTAAAATATCTCTGTATTTGTTTAATTTATGTTGGCAATCATACAAATTGCTGGAGGTATTCAGGACCCATGCATCTAAGCATATCGGCACATTCCCGCGAAATGATCGTATGTCAAAAATTTAATTTTACAGGAGAAGCTTTTTATACCCTGAACCCATTGGGAAATCAGAGTATAATGGTTTTGTGAAAAAGTAACGGGCAGAAGGAATCATTGCAGACCCCATAAAGTATATTTATTCTTGATCAGGGCGACGAGCTGAGTCGATTTAGCTCTGTCCGTATGTTTGAACGCGTCGATCTCAGAAGATATAAGAGCTAGAGACTTGAAATTTTCCTAGGTCCGTATACACAACGCACATATCGAGTTTTGCTTCAAATATCGATAACTTGTCCCGTTATTTTGTTATCGATTTTAAGAATTATCGAAGACCAATAATAAATTTATATCTCCTACATGTTTAAAGGTAGTCACCAAATTTTTAATTTATATGTACTTTATGGAATTTCGATTTTTGTCAAAATTTATCCCCCACCCCAAATTCACCCCCTCACCGACATAAACCATCAAACCATACATGCGTGCGTATGGCTGTGTGTGCATTAGAGGTGGGCACGAGCCGACTTTTTTGCGCCCGGCCCGATCCGCCCACGGTCAAAAGTACAAAATTTTATCCGTACCCGAAAGCAAAATAATTTTTCATAACCGCACCCAACCAGCTCTCCCGAAACACTTACAAAAAATTTAATTCTCAAAAATTACAACAAATTTTTTGTTCTTAAAAATAACAACAATTGAACTCTTAAAAATTACATTATTTACAGAAATATTAGATGTTTTTATATAAAAACAAGTAAGAAAGCTCTAGTCGAGACTGCTCGACTGCGAGATCCCCTGAACCCTTCGAGCAATAGCTATTTCAATCATTATTCGCGTCTTTCTACTTACACAAGAAACACACACGCACACACACACACACACACGTACGCACGCACACATACACACACACATACACAAACGCATACACACATACACACGAGCAAACACACGCATGGGCCGCAGTGTGCGCTTACTATGAGAACTTAATTGTTTAATCACTTTTTTTGTGGACATACGATCTTGATGAAACTTTCAGATTATGATTATAACATGAATATGCAGGTATTTGCCAAAGCACAAGTCTAGTATTTGAAATACGCCTTTTACAAATGTGAGGGTAAGGGGGTGAATATAGAGGTGGGGGGTAAATTTTAACAAAAACCGAAATTGCATATAAGCCTATATTAAAAATTTGGAGTTTCTAGCAAAAAAGGTGTAGAAGATATAATTTTATAAATGGTTTTCGATAAGGTTTTTAGCCGATTAAAAAAGATCGGGATGAGTTATCGATTTTTAGTGATAAACTTGATATCCGCGCTGTAAATATGGACATTTTAAAAAGGTCTCTAGCTCTTATATCTTCTGAGATCGACGCGTTCAAACATACGGACAGACTGACAAACGGACAGGGCCAAGGCAACTCAGCTCCTCACCCTGATCAAGAATATATATACTTTGTGGGGTCTGCCACGCCTCCTTCTGCCTGATACATACATTTCAGCAAAACCATTTTACCTTGATTTCCCATTGAAAATGGGTTCAGGGTATAAAAAGGAGCATATCAATAGTATTTATCAATTTCTAACTTGCATTTTTGCCAGGCACGTCAAGTTATCTTTTTTTTTTTATCAAAAAACTAGAAATTCATGATTCAAATTTGTCGGAGAGCTTTCAATTCTCGCGTCCTCAATTGAATCATTTTGCATATCGTAAATTTCAACCATCATGCTTTTGACGGTCTCCAAAATATGATTTTTTTCGGGTAAAACGGGTTGAGCGGCGTAACCCGCACCCGCCCGCACCCAACCCGAAACTCGATTTTTAGCCCATACCCACGGGTAACCGCGGGTGCCCACGGGTACCCGATAAAAACCCGGCCCGTGCCCACCTCTAGTGTGCATGTACCAATAATTATTGAAATATCAGTTACTCGAAGGGTTCAGGGGATCTCGTAGTCGGGCAGTCTCGACTACTGCTTTCTTATTTGTTTTTTTGTCTTTATTTGTTTTGTTATTGAAATTGATTATTTTTTCCGAAACTAGAGCGAATTCAGTTCCTTATTTTTTGCAAGTATGTTAGACAGACATTTTCTAAGCGTTCTTCATTAAATTCTCAATTTCGCAAAAAATCAACGCGGGAATGCGACGAAATGTTTTCCATATTTCCCCAAATAAGTTTCGCGTATTGCGAGACGACGGAAGTGGATCGATTGAAACTGGCACACAGACCCTATAAACAAAATCCACGTGCTGCAATTACTACCGGCGCCAACTATGGATGAATGGATGCTGGCCACAAAAGGAAACGTAAACTGAACGCAGCTGTGACGCAATTCAATCACTCTGCAATGCGCTCTCCCGTACACTTGCGATACACACATTTATATGTACTCGTGTACATATGTATATACATATGCATGTGTGTATGTGTTTTTTTGCGATTGCAATTGTGTGTGGTGTTAGTCAAAACCGCACTACCGCTTTAATTGTTTTTTCTCTTTTTGGTTTTTTTTTTTAGTTTTTGTAGTTTCATCGTTCGTTGAAAGAATGAGCGTAAAGTAAGCGGCTCTCTGAGTGTATACATGTACATACATATGTATTTGGGAGCTTTGGCTTTTTGGCCGTAACTGATATTAACGTTAGCAGGTAACCAAATAACGAATTAAGACGGTTTCCATTAATTCATTATATAAATAATGTACCGAACATAGCACATGGTTGGCTTATCAACCATATGCGCAATGGGTCAACTTATTTACATATGTATGTAACTATTCGATAACAATTGTATGCGCGACATGCGAAAACAGCTGTTAATCAGGATGAACCACTTTGGAACAAGGAAAAAATGTGAACTTTGTGTCACCCTGTATTGATGCACCGCCACCTGAAAGTCTATATACATATGTATGTGTTCATAAACGTACAAATAAAATATTAATTTGTCAACGATTGTTTATTTAACATCACAATAAATATCTACATATGTGTTAGTAGCAGATATTTATATTTATTCGCGTGATTTTGCCAAACAATTAAGTATAAATAAAAGCAGCAAAAAAGTCCGCTAACAATTATTTTGATTGGTCAGTCAAAAAAAACCTTGCTTTGCAGACGCTACCTCTTTGAATGTCAGCTCCGAGAGAGATAGAGGCAAACATACACTTGTATGCGTACACATGTATGTTAATATGCACATCTTAATGTGCCTTTGTGTAGGTAAGTTGGCTTGGAGCTGCATACGAAACATGTTTTAAATTTGTTCATATATGTATGTATACCTGATGCCTGTATTGGAAAATATGTATACACGTAATACTAATTAGTTTGAGATTTGTTACAGCACGGTTGCGTGTTATGTTTTGTATTTTATTTTGTTTTGAAAGCTTAAAGCTGTGCTTTCACGAGTATTAATACACGAGCACTTACCCATACATGTAAATTCATGAATGTATATATAGGTACGTACGTACTACCACTAGCTTAAATCCAGTGAGCAGAGATAGTCAACGCTATACGAATGTCGTATGTAGGTAAGCTTCATACAAGCGTATTGGTGTATGTATGTATTAACTTCAAAATAAAGTTCAGTTTAAGCTGGAGCGTAGTCGAGGTTGCGTCGTTTGTTCGTTCGGTTGGTCCGCTCCGTTCCGTTCCATTCGGTAAGTTCCTCACGGCAAGCACGTTCTCCTTCAGTGGTGTTGATAAACTACTTTTAGTTAATGCGAAAAAAACCAACGTGAAAAAAAGCAATGGAAAGTGACTGGAACATAAATACATGTACATAACGATACACATAAACATAGATACAAAGTTGAAATAATCATACATACATGTTATATTGTTTGTACCAACATGTGGATGTCTGTGCTATGTACTATGTTATGTTTTTGTACCTAATGGTGCATGTACACACATACATACATAGTTATATAAATTATATGCTAGTGCACATAGAAAAATGCAGTATAAAGTCTTACGCATACGTATACAAAAATAAGGAGATGTATGCATTTGCATTTGCATATATACATACATATATGTATGTCTATAAGTTCACTCTGTGCCTGCTAAATTCACCCACATTTGTATATGCAACTAAAGCGTTGTTGGTACTTTTTTTTGTTTGATTTTGTAAAGCTTGTGCAAAATATTTTATTGTATATCAATGAAAAAATCTATGATTAAGTGCTTGCAAAATGAACGTGTTTGAATTTAAAATAAAAGAAAACAACTACATACATAGTATGTACAGATGTGTGTGAACTATTAGCACAGGCATACACATAGGCGCACAAACACATGCATAAATATTTGTATGTACATAATCATGTTCTGTTGTTGTTTTATAAACGAGTGGCACAGTGAAATATAAACCAATATGTATAATGCTTTATTTCCTATAATTGTATGTAGGTATGCCTACA